TGGTATAGTAGACAAGAGGTCCAGACTGCATTGACTGTAGTCTACGGAATGTTATTACTTAATTTTGTGACTTTCAGCATCAAAGACCTTCCCTCTCTTTAATATCTGTAAAATGGGTATGATGGCCCATGGTTGCTAATTTGGAACCAAAATAAAAACTCTATAAATGCAAGTCATTGTGAGAAAAAGGTCCTGGGTTGTAGATGATTCAGATGATATTTTCAGACCTGATTTTGAGAGTTTGTGATTATGTTTACTCATGTGTCAAAAGATTTTTAACAAGAAAGATTGCTGAAAAGCGACAGAAAAGCACACAATGAAAGCTTGGAAAACAAGTGTTTCCCTGATACCTTGTTTCTCCCTGTGCTGTCTCACCTCAGATAGCAGCGTATCTTCCCATTGCCTCCAAATTTTCCACTCATACACAGAGTGTGTGTGATCCTTCAGGATACACTAAAGATATCTGGGGACACTAAGAGAAGGTTACCCCAAATTTTAAGCTCCCAGGCAGGGCTTGATCCCCAGTATTTCTTCCCTGATGCCATTCTGCTCTCCTCTTCAGCATTCTTGCTTGATTCACAGCAGGTCTGGCCCCCAACACCCCCTTACTCCTCAGCTTCTTCCCAGTGCCCAGCAATGCATACATATAAGCCCTTGGAGGCACAGAGCTCCTGAAAGGTGCCTGAGGCCTAAGTGATTTCCACTGTCACTTGAGTGTCCTCTTATCCATTTCTGGTAAGTAAAATTCTTTGCAGGAAGAATACCCATTGAGCCATTGAGCCCCTCCCTACCTCTCTTTTGGAAGGTTAAATGCAGGAAACGTCTAAGGAAGATCAGAAGGATGTAAAGCCTGCAACTCCAGCCAGATAAGACCAAGAACACAGATCTTTTCCATGTATAAGAGAGAAAGAAATTGAAGACCAATTATGTGTTTGTGTGTGTGTGTGTGTATATATATATATGCTATACATATATATATATATGCACACTACACACACTATATAAGCTATATATGTACACTATATATATACACAGCATATAAATATATATGCACACACACTACAAATAGATAAGTAGGTAGGTAGGTAGATAGATAGGTAGATCATGGATGTTTTCAAAGATTTTCTAGAGAATAGATATTAGTAATATAAGAAAAGTTGAAAAAATCCTCAAAGTTAAATAGAAGAAAACACCTTTTTAAATATTATTTTATTCTTTCATCTAAGTGTTGTATGTACAGATCCAGCCTCTTGTTTGTAGGGTAGAAATAAAAATATGGGTGAAATGACCATTTTTTGTGATCTGTGGTCCTGGTAACCTAGAACCTCTTGGTATGTAACTGGTTTATAGAGAAGGGAGCTTAATTAACATGTGGGAAGGTAAGCAGCATATGTGATACCTCCTGAGTAAGCTGAATAAACTTCTCTCCCACTTTTGCTATTCTCATTTGTGTGAATCAGAAATTATGCTGACCCCCCCCCAACATCTGGACAGTTGTGAGAAAAAGACCAGGAAGCCCAGACTATATATATATATTTTTTTTTTTAACAGTTCTACTGAAATATCACAGGGTTTTTCTGCTGCTCTATGATAAAGGCCAGTTGAGAGCTGGTGTTAAGATATCTTCCTTAGAGCCAACTGAAGTGACTGGGAAGGTAGAAATCTTTAGGTCTATGGTTACAGTTAACAAAATTATAACAGTCATCTCCAGGTGAGCAGGGGCCATATCCATGTGACTCATGTATATATTTGATAATGCCTGAGGAATGAAAAACCATCAGAATCTTAGCCAACATTTTAACTCTTCATCTCTGTAGAGAAGGCGGAGAGTCCATTAGCAGACACCTGCAGGAATTCAGTATCATATTTAAATGTGTTTAAATGAATTAATGCTATTTAATTGCTATTTTGTATTAACTAGTCTATAAAAGATAGTTGGTGTGACTTCCAGGCATACTGTCAGAATAAAAGATGTGGAGTGTGTCTCAGACATACAAAGAGTAAGGAGATTCCACCTATAGGAGATGACAAATCATTATTTGGCTGAAAAGTAACTAATCCTCTTTGAAGGAGAAAAAAAGCAAAGGGAAGTGAAAGACTAATTCTGTGTATCTTAAAGCTGCAGAAAATCACTGCCCTTTGATGATATTTGCAGGGTGGAGGTTGGAAGGGTAGTTTGCCCTGGGTAGCTCTTTTTGAGGTTATTCAGGACTGAGGAGAATCCTTATGCATCTGCATCCTTATAAAATTACTCGACCTACATCATGGCATTCTTTCGCAAGGTGACTGCTGGATATATTTAAATACAAAAGAAGTCACTTCTGGTTTCCTGATGGTGATGAATGTGCAAAGATCAACTGAGCTGCTAAAATGACTGTAAATGAAATTAAAAGGCTCTGCGCTTGAACTGTTCATTCAGCAGTTGTTCTCCTTGGCTTAACCTGAGAGGGCAGCTGAAGGCCTTTTGTGAACCCAGTGTAAAAATAAGATTAGTAAGGATGTATGTTTTAACATAGTGTCTATGGCTTGTGCATAATCTGACTTGCAAAAGGACATTTAATAAACAATTCTTTGGGAGACACTTTTGGAAAGGAGAGGGTGAAAGTGAGTTCTTGCTTGTTGTTGACATCTGGAAGGTCACTTGTCTGAGTTTGCATCATTGTCACCTTGAAAAGGTGTTGCATCTTACTCCAATAATAGATGAGTGAGAGCCATCTTATCTGTGGAACTCTCATCTGCGGAGATCCCGTAGGATTCCAAGTGGACATCTGTGGACATCTGGACTACGGAGGGAGGGCTAAAACAGATGGTGGTGGCAGGCAGGCTGAGAAGGTGGCTCCTGGTAGATTGCTTGGGCAGGGCTGCAAAGCTTCTGACTGACAAAGGAGTATTTTGGGGGGTTCTATATTGTCTTTTACTTAAAAAAAAAAAGATTTATTTATTTATGCATACAGAACTGGGGCACAGGCCTAAGGTGAAGAGTTGATAAGCCGATTCACAAGAGACAGAGTGGGGAGAAAAATCTACTAAAATGTGTACTTCTAAGAGGAGCAGTGGGCAGATCAGGAGAGGTCTGTGGGTCAGGAGAGGTCTGCTGCACCATGCAGGTCACCTCCTTGCTGGGGATCGAACTTCTGCTGCAGTGGCTACCGCTAGCTTCATAGTGCTGCTCTTTAACCCACTGTGCCACCAGGGAGGGTCCTTGGGATTCCAAATTATTCTCATTTCTGGTAGGACCAAATCTCAGTGAGGTTACTCTGTGGTGACTCATCCTGGCAGCACTTACCCCAGATGTGTGGCACAGGGGACCACATAGGTCAGTGTGACTTCCGTAGGGGTGCAGCTTGCTACCCTCTTGGTGGTGAGGTCAGTTTCCTGAAGGACCCGCGACATTGATACTTTCCAGATGTTTCTTCTCTCTCTCTGACTATGTCTTCCTCCCATCGTCCTATCCATCCAGTAAAATTGAGATAAAATTCTGCTTAGCGTTGTAGGCATGTTAGAATCACTCAGCACTGAGAAGTGATTTATTATTTAGGCCTTATAGTAATATTTATAATAGCCTCTGCTGCTGGTGTATAACATAAACACTTTTTTTTCCCTGTTCAAACCCAAATATTGAAATAACATCCAGGAGTAGCTTTTTTAAAAAGTTCCTTCTAGTGGCTCAATAGTTTGTAGTAATCTCTGTGTTACTTTATTGTTTTTCAAATCTCATTTTGATTCTAGTACCTTATTTAATACCAACCATAAATCTGTGAGGAAAATACTATTTTTACCCTTATTTTACAGATGAAGAATAATTTGCTCAAGGTCATACAAATAATAATTGCAAGAACTAAGTTTTAGTTCAGACCCTTTAAATTCACATATTTGATATGTTCTTTTCACAAATTTTATTACAGTGCCTCTTTTCTTAGGTTTTGCCCATACATAAATGGGAATGAAGAAAAAATAAGCAGCTGGAAAATAAATTCGTTGAAAGAACATACTTTTCCCGCATTTTCCTAATAGATCTTTCAGATACGCAGTTTGAGGACTTCTTCTTGCCTTACATCGGTTATGAAATCAGTGCCCTGGAAATACTTAGGTAAAACAAGGTCTCATCCCCACTTCTCAGATGGGAAAACTTAGGCTTCCCAAAGCTAAGCGCCTTCCTCTCAATCAGTTGTGGGAGCTGCCCTGGGGAGGAAGAGGGGCAGAATGGAGTACTATCCTTTTAGGATCTTGAGCCTCTTTATTCTGTCAGAATTTCAAAAACCTGAATAGTATCCTTCTTGGCAGTTGTTGGGAGGAACTAAGCGGAGAAAACTGCTTTGGCTCAATGTGCTGTGGTCCTTTGGGGTAACTTCAGATCAGTGAGTGTGCTGGGCTGGAGCTGGAGTTAAGAGTGGGTTATAAAGAATGAGTAAGCCGCCTTGTCTGCTCTTCTCTTGCTCAGGTAAGGGGTGGAGGCCGCCCCACTTTTTTCAAAAGGCCCTGATCTTGGGTTTGTGAAACCTCCGTGCGATGTGGAAGCTGGACATTCCAGCCACGTGGACCAACACCGCGTTATTTCACATACACAATCGAGCAGTTAACAACCCTCTATCTGGGACTTACAAGAACCCCAAATAAGGATAGTTAAATGGACGTCGAAAAAATGTAACCCAAACATTCAGAAACGTTTCTTTGCGAATGCAGCTATTATTTATATCAAACTGCGGCGCGCGCTGCGACGAGACGTTTTTCATTATTGCGCAAGTATTTCACAGGCATAGCCTGTCTGGGTTACGTTTGCTGTCGGCAACCCTGAGCCCTGCCTCTTCCGAGAGCCAGGCTGCCATCGGGGGCCGCCGCCCCACCTGCGTGCGCTCGGATAGAGCCAGCCCCGCCAGGTCGCCTCCGCCCTGCGACGGGTCGGGGCGCGCGGCCCCGGGGGCGGCTCCCGCCGCCCAGCTGAGACGCGATTCGTCACTCTTGCAGAACTTACCCCCTGAAAATCCCTGCAGCAGAACCAACCCTCGCTCCAGCCCCGGGGAGGTTTTGATTTTTGTGACTTTTCCTCCCTTTTATTTTCCGTCGTGTGCGGGTTTGGCCGCGGAGCAAACTCGCAGCTGGTCCGAGTACATGTCAGCGGTAATCGCCCCCGTAGCCACCATGAACTCCGAAGCAGAAGAATCCAAGGAAGGTATGATTTTAATTTCTCCGCTCAAGTTCTGCGGAGAAATGTGGAGGAAGGGCATAGTAGGAGCGCAGCTGCGAGTTGGAAAGCGAGCTGTGTGTAGTTAGTTCGCCTTGCTTGCGCTTCGGGGGGCTGAGCGCTGAACGTGGGCAGCCCTGAACCCTGAACCCCTGAGCACAGCGGTTCAAAGCCGAGGTGGGGAAGTTGGGACCAAGCTCAGGCAAATCACTCAAGGTTGCTTTTTAGATTTTTTGGGAAACGAAACGTCTCCAGTATTGACTCCAAGAATGCAAAGTGTAGTTGGAAAGGCGCTGCCTGCCGGCTTCAGGACAGCTGAAATCCAGTGCGCTGGAAGAGCCTTAGGAATCCAGGGAACCTCGAAACCCCCTTGTTTCCGGCTGAAAGGGGAAGTTGAGTAAGAGAGAGGAGAGAAAGATATTTCTTTGGGAGGAATGGGTTATTATTATTTTTCTTTTCTTGTGCCTTTCAGAAATGAGTTCGTTTGGGGGGGGGGGTGTCTGAAGAACCTGAGAGATTTGACTGGGGGGCCTTGGGTAGCTTGAAACCAAGGAGAATTTGTCTGTTTCTTACTTTGCCAAAGCAAAAGGTTTCATTTACTCCTAACAGAGAACGGGTGACAGAGCTGGAAGAGCTCCAAGCAAAACACAATTATACTCTGGTGTTAGCTCCACGAGTATATTTGTGTGTGAGTGTTTGTGTGTTTTGTTTGCTGAAACTTTATGTATACAAAAGTCCTCTTGTAAATGGGGGTCCAAGGGAGGGATAGTTGGAGAAAATTAGAGAATACGAGAGGAGGCTATTCAAGATTGTGAAATTCCTTTTCTTTTCAAGTAGCGTCTTGGGAAGCTGGTAAATTTCAAGTCAATCACGATGATTCTGGGAGCCTGAGAGCAGAAAGGAGTCCTCTTCACTTAGTACGTGCTAGTGAGGAACAGCCCTTGAAACTTGTCCTCTTCTTTCTTTCTATCTTTCTTTTTTTTTGATTCTGCTTCCACCTTATTATGTGTAATAATCAGGGCTGACGTTTACTTTATTATGTTGTGTGAGAAAAGTAGTCAGTAAAACAAGCCATTGAATAGTCATGTAGGACTGAGGTGGATGAAAAACTGACAAGCAGTAGCATTGTTTTTTGAGCGGGATGTGGAGCTTAGGGATGAATATTTCCTTGCTGTACCTGCGGAAGGATACTTTTCATCTGTCATTCTAATGGCAATGTATGCAGTTCAGTCAAAAGTAGTAGGAAGAAAATAGGTGATAGAGAAAATCTATTGGCCAGCTTGTATGTGAATTGAACTACAAGTAATATTTAAACTGGTATTATCTACCAAGCATCATTTTCCTTTGTTTTGAGAAGGCAGAAGTGAGAGCTAAGTGGGAAAACAGTGTTCCCAAGTATGTCACACATTCTTCTAAGCATATCCATATTCTCTCCTCTTTGTCCAGCCCTCTGGTTGTCATCCTGACAACGGGGCTGTGAGAAGACCGCTACAATCTCCCCTCCTACTTGTTCCTCACCTTACCTCCACCTGCCTACTTACAATCTGCAGATCTGCACAGATTATCTGACCTTGTGCTTTTTACAGAAAGCTCCAAAAATATCTTTTACGATAACATGAAATACTAGAGTTTTAAATTGGTGACAATTGGGGAGGATATTGAAAAGTGTGTGTGAGTGTTTGTGTGTATGTCTGTTTGTGTCCTGTGCATTTCTTGCAAGGCGCTGGTTATTGACTGTGATCTAGAACCCTCTGTTGAACTACTGAGATGCCCATGAAAGGAGCGATGCTATGTAAATAACTCAGTTATTTGCTGCCCTCTCCTTACTAAAAAATCCCGCCTCCACGCCCCTTCCTCCACCCCAACGTATGTGTCCCATTTAGTGTGAGATCACCACAAGCCTCTCACAATGTCTGCATTGCAAGAAAATTGCCTTCGGATGCTTCATGCTTGATTTGCTGTAATGGGAATTACTTTAAAGTCATTATTTTGAACTGCAGTAAGAGACTAGTATATTTTGTTTGGGGTCAGATCTGAAAAAAATATCAAGTTGAATTCAGAAATCCTTGGGGGCCAAGATATTTGTGTATGTGAATGAATGCAGAAGCAATGACTGGGGATATTGTTAAACTCTCACAGCTTAGGACGTTCGGGATTCCGTGCCAGAGTACTGGACCTCCAGTCTCATTCTATAGCGACCTCCTAAAGAACTGATTTCATTTTGCCAGCTTACAAATGAATAAGGTGATTGTGCCTGAATATTAAACACAGAAAACTAATCCTGGCCTCGCTTTCATATAAAAACTGAGTAAATTTAAGATATGCAAGCTATCCATGGTCATGAATATGAACATGCGGGGAAATGAAGGAAGACACCCACTTTCTCAAAAAGTGGAAGGCCCTAAAAGGAGCCGATGGACTGTTTTCAGCAGATGAACCCACCTTAAGGGGTGGGTTGATGGTCATATTTTTTGGCATCTAGCTGTTCCCTGGTAAGTGGATTACTTACTTATGGCATAGTAAAGTGAGTGGCAGTTCCCATCTCTGAGGACCTTTCTAGTGCTAAACATGAATGGGCCGAAGCCCCTTTGCGCTGGTCATTATAGCTTTGGTATCAGAGATGGAGAAAACCATTGTTCAGGAGGTTCGCTCAGTGAAGGCTTGGAACAGAGTCCAGGGTGAGCTGGCATGTGTGCTCGGCCCCTCCTCCCTATACCAGCATTCCCTGCTGCCTCCTCCCTTTCTCCATGGAGAAAACAGTAGTAGCCAATTGACAACAACCTCACTTTCCACTCTCAGACTGCCAGACTCACCCAAGATCTGTGGGTGTCACTCCTGCTGCAGGTGTCTGCTTATCCTCCCTTGGGCTCCTCACCGCCCCAGTGGGCTCCCTGCCTCACCTGGCACCTTCCCTTCCGGTTCAGATGTGCTCAAACCCTCCCCTTACCCCTGCTTGAGCATGTCGGTACCTGTAGCCTGTTCTCCCTGAAATATCCTTCTCCACACTGCAACCCCTTCCTGGCCTGCTCCTTAGACTTTTTTTAAATTCGAGTCTAAACCAGAATCCTGATCCCTCTCTCAGAATGCCTGTTCTTCCCCTCACTGGCATAGCCACTTTGTTTCTCATCTCTGCTCTAGACCCCAACCTGTTGAGGGATAACTGGGTCTGATTTATTTCCCCAAGATATCTCTAAGACCCTCCACAGCAAGAGGGGGTTATTCATATTAAAATTTTGTAGAAGGAACGAATGATTTCCACTCTTTAAGAGAAACCCATAATTCTTTGTTTAGTTTTAGGCACTTATCTCTCCTTGAAAATGAATGTTTAAGGCCCTCCCTTGTGGCACAGAAGGCTAAAGCACAGTACTAAGAAGCTAAAGCCTCTTCAGCATGAGTTCAGACCCCGCTCTGAAGGTGATCCACATGGGTTGGTAGACCTCTCCTGACCCGCCCGCTGCTCCCTTCAGCAGTGTACTTCATCAATCTGCCTGTTCTGCTCTCCACTCTGTCTCTCACTGCCAGTGCACCTCTGGCCTGTACCCCGGTTCTGTATGCAAAAAAAAAATAAATGTTAGGGGAGAAAAAAAAGAATGAACTAGACTTATCCATTGTGGAAATAAATGTCATTATTGCTTCTGAATGGAAGAATGGAAATTGATTGCTGTTACCATAAGCAGAATTTATTGGAAGTTTATTGAGTAGTTCACACAGACACAGAAAGGCTGAAAAATTTGCTTCTGAAAATCAACCTAGGAGACGCCTGATTAGGACTTCCCTGCTGCTTCATCTCCATAATTTTGATTTTTGTCACTGAGGGGATTCTGATTGTAGGTGAAGATTTGCTCACCCTTATCATTCAGAAATTTTAAAAGTAAGCCATCTGATTGCTCAGGCTGCCTTGTGTCTTTTGCAGTTTGTGGGAGAGGGACTTTCGGACTCCAGCTTTTGTGATGGGGACTGATTCCTTACCACCACTTGCAAAATGAGGTTTTCTCCAGAAAGAGGAAGGGAGTTCTGCTGTGGGTCACCACAATAACAGCAGTTATGTAGGACTCCACCAGACTTGTTCTTCAAGTCCTATATTGCCCTGTTTATTTACTTTCTTGTTCCCTCCGCCAAATACTGTTTCCTTTATTTGGTCACTCTCTGTTGCTTTCTCGAGTGGGTAAACTCTCCCACCAGACTCAGTTTAGTATAGATGCTCTCCGAGGATATTCCAGAATGCTCAGTCCTCCCTAAGTTGCCCTGTTTTCACTGTATATTATTATTAGAGATTTATGTTATGGTATTATATTCTCACTTGTCCCCACTTTTTTAAAAAAATATTTATTTATTTATGCATACTGAACAGGGTACAGGCCAGAGGGACAGGTGCAGTGAGAGGATTCACCAGAGACAGAGTGGGGAGCAGAACAGGCAGATATACTGAAATACACTGCTGAAAGGAACAGCGGGTGGGCCAGAAGAGGCCTGCCACACCATGTGGGTCACCTTCGGGGCAGGGATAGAACTCATGCTGAAGTGGCTTTAGCTTCTTAGTGCTGTGCTTTAACCCGCTGCGCCACCAGGGAGGGATTGACTCCACTTTTTTATTTGAATTCTGTGCTACACCTTGGGTTTCCTCTCAGAAGGATCTAATTAAGCTTTGCCAAATTCATTAATCAATTGAAAGTGACGCTACATGGTATGATGAAACCTTTTAAGGACTGCTTAGAAACGGTCTAGCCTCACGTTTTAGGAGCAGTGCCTTCCAAACCCAAAGGACAAACCTCTCCAGGATTTCTTAAAGCCACCACTAAAATACTGTTAATGGCAGCGGGAAAGCAAGCATATACCTTTGCTCACTGGGGTCAGGCCCACACTGCCCTGGTAGCACCTCAGATTTCCTTGAAGATGATTTTGAAACTATAATATATTGAGCACTTCCATGTGCCAGATGTACTACTAAGCATCTGATTGTGTATATCATCTCATTTCATACTTGTAGA